GGAGGAGAGGGGTCAGTGAGAGGCCCAAGCTGTGACTGGTGGGCCACCCAGCAGCCACGGCACCCTCTGCTGGAGGCTGGCAGCAGGGTGCATGGCCAGCTGTGGGTGGGGGTCCATCAGTCAAGCAGCTGCACTTCCTCCCCATCCCCCCCACACTGAGGCCAGGGGCTCTACCTGCGGCTCCCTCATGCCAGGCCTCCACTTTCCAGCTCCCAGGCCCCCGGCCCCACCTGGCCTGGCCCGGGACAGAGCTGCCACCAAGATCTCTTCCACTTCTCTCCCCAGCAGCCTGCAATTCAGTGCCCTGCAGACCCCTGCCTCCTGGGCCCTGCGGTTTCCCCCACACTATATTCAATTTCCAGCTGCTGAGAACACAGCAGGTCCCATGTAAAGGTTGCCATCACCTGCACCCCATGGGCTGCCCAGCCATGGAGAAGGGGCCATGGTTGGGTGCACAGCTTCTGAGACAGGCCCAGCAGCTGCCTTCATGGCCTTGGCAGAGCCCAGGGCTCTGGAGCTTACAGGGAGCATATGACCAAGTGTGGAAAATTTGGTCTGCAGAAGAAATGAGGCTGAAATTGGCTGGAAGCAATTCTTATCAAAGCCACATTAGCAGTTTTCAGCAAGAGCTAATTGAACAAGCTCTGTGAGTGGCCTCATTCCATTAGCAGGAGCCTCCTACAGAGTGTGACAAGGGCCCTCGTGGCTGAGGGCAGAAGAGGCTGTTTCTGTCCCACATTTGCCTTTGGCCTTTGAAAATGGACACATTTTCAGCTTTGGGGACTGGCCCTGCCCCTCTGCCCTGGCTCCCGCTCATTTCCAAAGCCACTCTCTGAGTGTCTTGTGTCTCAGCGCTTCAGCGGGTGCATGGATCTGAAAAAGGACACGCTTGGAGACACGGCCTCCTTATCAGGAAGGGTTGAGAGACCACGTTGCAGAGGAACCGAAAGTTTGAGGGCCAGGCCAGAGCAGGTTGGGTCAGGAAGCTGGGCCCTGCCTTAGCAACATGCGTGGGCCTGAGGAGAGACCCACGGCCGGCCCAGTCTCCCTCGACTCCTCTGGAGTCACGGTGTCCTCAGGGAGGGAACAGGAGGCAGCTGGGGTGTGGCCAGGCCAGAGCTGAGCTGATGGGACCTGAACCCCGCTTTTGTGGGGTGGCCGTGCTCTCTGCTTTCTCCTCTCTGCTGTGCCCAGTGGGCTTGAAAAGGGCGCAGTCCTCGGGCCAGAGCTCGGGGGTCACCTGTCTGGACTCCAGCCTGTTTCCTCTGTGCTGGGGCTATCAGGGCAAGTGTCTGACCAGGGCCCACAGGGCGCTGGTCAAGGGGCCCAGGGATGTGGGGTCCAGCCCTCTGTGCCCCTGACTGGCTGTCTGATCTGGCCAAGGCCCTTCATCTCTTGGCCACTGTCACATGGCATGGGGAACACTCCTCAGTGCTGTGGCCTCCAGGATGCTATAAGGAAGTGGCATCCGACCACACCCACCCTTTCTGCAGGGACCATGGTCAGGACAGAGCTGTGGACACTGAGCAGGGGCTGGCCTCAGGGCCCACCCAGACAGGCCTCCTTGTCTCTCCCAACACCACAGTGGGGCTTCCTCCTGGGAGTTGGCCAGCTGCCCTCCCCAGGATGGGACCTTTGGCTTCCATCCCGAGCTCTTCCCTCCTGCCCTGGGCCCTGCAGACTGCCCCATAAGCTGGCTGCTCTCCTGGGGTCTTTCCCTCTGTGAGCACCTCTGCAGATACATTCCGGCCTTTGGGATGCTTCAGACAGCAAGCAGGAAGCAGACAGACGCCCCGCATCTCCCCCAGGCCAACTCCAGCCCCATCAGCAGCAACCTGGCGGGGAACTGTCTACACCCGCCAGCCTCCCTCCCTCCGTCCTCTTGGGTTTCTGAACCAGCCTCTCCAGCCGCACCGCCACTGCGACTTACTCCTTCTGGTCAAATCCAAGGGCCCTGTGCAAGCCCCTGCTCTCCTCGGCAGCTCACACTGGGGACAACCCTCAGGCTCCTCCCAAGTCCCCAAGCTGCTTCTCGGCCACCTCCTGTTCCTACTGCCTCTGCCTGGGTGCTCACCACCTCCTGCCCCCCCGTGCCCAGTTGGGAAGGGGGTGCCCTTGTGGCCCCCCATCTCCAGCCTTGCTCTTTCTTTCTTTCTTTTTTTCTTTCTTTTTTCTTTTTTTTTTTTTTTTGAGACGAAGTCTCACGTCTCACTCTGCCACCCAGGCTGGAGTGCAGTGGCACAATCTTGGCTCACTGTAAGCTCTGCCTCCCAGGTTCAAACGATTCTCTCACTTCAGCCTCCTGAGTAGCTGGGATTACAAGTGCCCGCCACCATGCCTGGCTCATTTTTGTATTTTTGGTAGAGACAGGGTTTCACCATGTCGGCCAGGCTGGTCTCAATCTCCTGAGCTCAAGTGGTCTGCCCGCCTTGGCCTCCCAAAGTGCTGGGATTACCCTGCTCTTTTTTGCTTCCTGGGGCTGCTTCTTGGGAGCCTTGGGCTGCTCAGCTTTCATCCCAGCCATGCCCTGCCTCTGGCCCGGTCTCTGTCCCCCACTGCGTCCTGCTAAGGTCCCTGTGCAAAGCCCTTCGCTTGTTCCAACAGCCTTCCCCAGCTCCCAGAAAAGGTGCTGTTTGTAGAGTGTTGACAGGCACCAGGCTGTCCCTGCGCCCCTCCTGGCCCAGCCCTTCAGTCTCCCCTTGACACAATCTGCCCTTGACTTCTTATTTTTCAAACTAACCTGATGCTTTTCTTTATTTGTTTGTTTTTTGAGAGGGAGTTTCGCTTTTGTTGCCCAGACTGGAGTATAATAGCGTGATCTCGGCTCACTGCAATTGAGCCGGGTTCAAGCAATTCTCTCGCCTCAGCTTCCCAAGTAGCTGGGATGATAGGTGCCTATCACCACACCCAGCTAATTTTTGCATTTTTAGTGGAGACAGGAGTTTCACCATGTTGTCCAGGCTGGTCTCAAACTCCTGACCTCAGGTGATCCACCCACCTTAGCCTCCCAAAGTGCTGGGATTATAGGTGTGAGCCAACGTCCAGCCTGTTTGTTTTTGTTTTGCCTCCGTGCCTTTGCTATATCACCCCTTTCCTATAAAACAGTCCTTTCTCGCTTACTATGTCTTGGAATTAGTCTTGCACTCAGGAATGCACCTCTGCTGTCAGGGCTCCAGAAAGTTAGGGTCAAGGCCTTCTGGTGCAGCAGTGCAGACTGTGGCCTGCGGGTGGGGGGACTGTGTGTGGCCAGTCTTTTTTTTTTTTTCCACACCTTAGGCTTTGACCCACACAGAAAGAGATGGAACAGCCTGGGCTGCAGGGGCCTGGAAAGCGACAAGCATGTGGGCAGCACTGCGTGGGGCAGTTGCAGGAACTGCCTGTTCTCCTTCTCCTAGTGCTGCTCCAAGGGCACAGTCTGGTGACTGCAGCCACTTAGGGAGGCCTTAGGATGCAAAGGAGAATGAGGACACAAGGACACTAACAAAGCCCAGCTCTGCAGGAGGAGGCATGCTGCCCTGGGATGTCGCCGCCGTCTTGTCTGAGCCCGAGGGTGGCACTCGGTCCACCTGTGGGGAGCAGGGAGGAGAGAGGACCCGGCCCTGGCTGCCTCTGGTCTGCCTGGGAACGAGCTCCCTCAGGCGGGGCTTGACAGTCGGTATCCAAGCATCATCATCAGAAGCACGTAGTCCAGAGCTGTGTGCCCAGCAGAACAGGGCACTGGGGCAGGGACCCAGCCTTCTCGGCTCCTGAATTGGAGCCTGGCATGCCCCATCTTAGAGTCCTTCAATCTGCACAGATGCACTTGGCATCTACAGTGGGACCGGAGTCCACGACACTGGGCATGGAAGGAAACGGCCCCTGTGATCAAAGAGGCCATCACAGACATGGCAGCTGAGTGCTGGGATGGGCTCTGAATGGGATGTCAAGAAGCAGGTGGCAGGAGATGGGTGAAGAGAGGGTGAAGGGGAGGGGAGCTGGATGCAGAACCTCATTCCCTGGAAGTAGGACTGTGTCCATGACAGGGGAGCCGCAGAGGGCCTTTCCAGGAGAGGGATGTGGCCAGCTTTGGTGTGAAGTCCACAGAGCAGAGCATGACTAGAAGTAGGGAGGCCACCTGGTAAAAGAGACGGAGGCTGGGACAAGAGTGCTGCCCTTGTCAGAGGGAGGCCAGGAGAAGCTTCTCTAAATGTGGCTGCATGTTTAGCCCAATTCCTAGAGCTGGGGCAATCATGCCAGTCACAACATAGGACATGTTACAATGATGTCTTATTTTTTTCAAGGCCAGGCACTGGCACATTTCTTCCCTATTTTACAGGGAAAGAAGTGGAGATTCTGAAAGCTTAACTAATTTATCTGGCAAGGCATGGTCTCTCATGCCTGTGATCCCAGCACTTTGGGAGGCCGAGGCAGAGGCAGGAGGATCACTTCAGCCCAAGAGCTGGAGACCAGCCTGGGCAACATAGTGAGACCCCCTCTCTATAAACAAAATTTAGCCAGGCAAGATGGTACACGCCTGTGGTCCCAGCTACTTGGATGCTGAGATGGGAAGATCAGAATCACTTGGGCCACCGGGGGGTCGAGGCTACAGTGACCCGAGATCATGCCACTGCACTCCAACCTGGGTAACAGAGCGAGACCCTGTCTCAAACTTAAAGGAAAAAAAAAGTTTGAAATCATGCAGCAAGAGAGTGACAGGGCTGGCATTCCAGCATCGTCCTTCAAAATGTGACAGACACAGGTCCCACCTGAGCCAGCAGGAATGCAGCACCCAGTGCTGCCTCTGCACAGGCCTGATGCTCGCCGGCACCTTAAAGGCAGAGGAGACCCTATGATAAACGCATGAAGAGCGCATGTTTCATGGGATTGATGTTGATGCTGGCATTCCCTGCAAGCCACTGAGGAGAAGCCCCTCTCCCAATGGCAGGGCCACGAGAGGTGAAGGACCCCCTCCACCACCCCTAGACAGGTCTTTCCTGGCCACAGATGCCCCAGGTCCCTGAATGTTAAAACCGAACCCCAACCCTCCAGCTGAGCAGAGAAACATTCAGATCTGGTTCCTCAGTGGTCAGGGAAGGCAGGCTTCCTCTGAAGCACAGATGGCTTCACCCTTTTCTCATGAGCCCTGCCAGGGCGAGAGCAGCCTTTCCCAGGATCATCCTTTAAGATGCGACAGAAACAGGTCCCACCTGAGCCAGCAGGAATGCGGCACCCAGTGGCTGCCTCTGCACAGTCCTGGTGCTCGCCGGCACCTTCAGGGCTAAGGACACCCTGTCGTAAATGCATGAAGAGTCCTGTGTTTCATATATTGATGTTGTTGGTTTTTCTTTAGAGGAACATTTGTGCACTGTGGGAACCTGTGTGTCTACCAGTGTCACCCTTGCTGTGGGGAGTGTGTACTGTGTGTGGGGGCTGGTGACCTTTCCCTGCTGTCTGCCACAGCATGTGAGGGGCTCGCCAAGCCTCATCCCTGCCCTCCCTCTCCCGTCCCCTCCTGCCCCAGGGAGGCCCAGACCCAGGGAGGAGGGGTGCTGGGAGTGAGTGACGAGGAGCTGGGGTCCTGGCCCTGCAGCCGCTGTCACAGCACAGCCCCACCCCAGACCTCCAGAGTCATGGGACTCTGGTGGCACAAGCTCCAGAAGCTTGGCCGATGCCAGGTGTGGGACCGAGGCCCGATCTCCGAGGCCTTGGCTTGCTGTTCTGGAAGGTGATGCTGGCTGGCAGCCATTCCCAGCCCCTCGGAGAGCAGTTTTCAGGCAGTCCCTGAGCTCCAGCGCCCCATCCCCAGCAGGCCCAGTGATCTCATGCCTGTGCCCCTGGCGCTGGGAGGAGCAGGGTGACATTAGGGCTGGTGCCCACATCAGGGGAGCAAGGTCTGAGGCCGGGGCAGGGGACAGAGTGCCCTCCCATCCAGCAGCCCCAGTGCCCTCCCCGCCCCCTTCAGGGCTCCCATGGCCCAGAGTGTGGAGCGGCGCGGCCTGACCAGCCAGGACACCTTGGGGCGTTTAGGAGGTTTGGCTGTCCAGGCTGTGCACCTAGCACTGCTCCCCAGGAGAGGGAGGGAGGAGGTCGGGGGAGAGGGCCTTGCTGACCGGGTCGCTGTCACAGCCTCCATCTCTGGCCCTGGGTTCTTGCAGGAGCGCCTGGGCTCTAAGCTGAAGCTGTCCCATCCCAGGACCTCAGGAGGAGGAGGAGGAGGAGGAGGAGGAGGAGGCTGGGCGCCACCTGCTGGCCCATCAGGGAATTGACAGGGCAGGGGACTGGAGTCTGGGGTCCATGTGCTGGCCCCAGATGAGAGCCCGAATCCCACCTACCCTACCCCACCCACCCTGCACTGTTCAGCTCAGTTCTCCCACCTGTGGTGCGGGGCCCCGTTTGCGATGGTGAATCCTGAACTTCGTACAACTCTGGCTGCTGGCAGTTGGGCTTGGCTTTCACCTTCCTCTCCCCAAACTCTACTGGGGACCTCCCTTCCAGCCACCCCAGGGCGTCACCACCACAGCCAGGGGTCAGCCCCACCTTCATTCACTCCTGCTCAGAGCCCACCTGTTCTCTCCGCCCCCATCTGCTACCTGCAGCATCAGAAGGACATGAGGGCAGCAAACAGCCCCTGCAGCTGTCCACAAGCATCATGGCCAAGGCTGCGCCTGGGAAGTGCACTCTCTGTGGTGCCAGCTCCCTCCTCAGTGCCCTTGACCTTTGTCTGGGTCCCTGCTTGATGTGGCCCAACTGGCTGTGCCAGAGCTCCACAGGTGCTGTCCCGACTCCCAGCCCCTCAGAGGGAGGGAGAGGCTGAGACCGAATGGGAAGCAGAGACTTAGCCACACCAGGGGCCCTGGCACAGTGGGCCTCTCCTCCAAAGCCTCACCAGGCTTCACATTCAAGGTCACCAAGAGTGCACTTGTTCACTGTCGAGGGCAGGGGTGACTCCTGGGACTGTGCTGGGGTCCAGGGAGGACAGGTAGCAGAGTTGCCAGGGAAGCAGCTTGCCTGAGGTCTGTGGTCATGGCAGAGGCTTCCACAGCAGCCCCACCCTCTCCCTGTCCCCTCCTTCTCCCTGTCCCCTCCCTCCTGTCCTTGTCCTCGTGTTTACTGAAGACCATGAGAAGGGATGTGGAGAGCCCCTGCAGGAACTAAGAGCAGGAGCCTGGCTCAGCCCCAGGGGCCCGCAGACATTCAGTTCCTAAACCCATAGGGTGGGGCATGGGCATAGGGGAGAAACCAGGGCTGCCCTGCACAGCCCTGCTCCTTCACCCTGCCTGCCTAGTGGCCTCCTTAGCCTGCAGCCTCAGTGCAACCCGCTATGAGGCCATACTGCCCCCTGCTGGCCACACTGCAAAATGCAACCCAGGGTCGACCTGGAGGCTACAGGTGTCCGTCTTCCCCCAGGCCTGCAGCTGGGCTGAAGGGAAAAGGGGGCACCAGGGCACAACCTGGGTGCTCCTGCCCAGGAGGATTGTCCGGCTGCATGGGGAGAAAGTCCAGAACCGTGCCTGGCACATGGTAGTCCTTGTGGAGTGAGTGAACGAATGAATGTATGAACTATGCATTTGAGGCTTTTTGCTGATGATGACCCAACCAAGACAGATCACAAAAGCCATTTTTCCAGCAGGAACTGGGACTCCTCTTGGGTTGACAAGATGTAAGTACAAAATCTAAATAAGATTCCAATGGCACTACACAGTGACACAGGTGACCCTAGCTATAAACGCCCATGGAAGGGAATTCTGTCTGACATTCAGGGAAGACTTGGAGCAGGGTAAGGGGACGAGATTGATGGCAGGAGTGAGACTTATAGGGCATGGGTGGGAGACCCCTGGCTGGCTATGTTGGGGGAAGAGGGGCAACTGGAAAGCAGCACCTGGATCTCGAGGGACTTGGCCTGCTCAGTCCTTCCATCGGGAGCCACGCCCATTCATAGTGACTGTTGAGTCTAACGACACTCACGTACAGTGAAGCCAGAGCAGCAGCCCCTGAAAGGGTGACTCCGGGGTCTCACCCCGTCCTGACTCCTGCCTCATCCCCTGGTGAGGGCTTCCCTCCTGCTGCCTCGGACTCTGCTGTCCACCCTCAGAGACCCTGTCGGGAGGCTTCCCTCCAACAGGGAACCATCCCCAGGTAGAAGGGAGCCCAACACTCCTGGTCCTGCGGGATCCTCAGTCCACTCACCACTGCGGCATGCCCCAGGGAGTCCTCGAACTAGGGCCTGGGCCAGGGCCCCCTGGGTTCCCATGGCCTGGGTGGACACAGTGCCCTCTTACAGCCAGGGCTGCCCAAGGGTTCCAGGTGTCCTATCATTCAGCAGATCTTTCCTCGGTGCCTTCTCTGGATTGGGTGGGCTGCTGAGCTCTGGGGCTGCAACAGTGAATTAGGCAGGGGCTGTCCCTGCTCTCCAGGGTCTAGTGGAGGAGCCAGCACAGAGCTAATCAGTCAGAGGAGAAGGTGGTGTAGACCCACTGGTGCAGGGGAGACCATGGGAGTGCTGGGCAAGACAGGGACTTGGCGGAACACATGAGATGAGGCAGCTGGGAGGTCGTCTTTAAGCTGAGACCTGAAGGGTGATAGAGAGCCAGGCAGGCTGCAGCGTGGGAAAGCCTGAGCAGCTGTCCCCCAACCCCAGCGGTCCCTCCCATCCCACCCACCCTCTGCAGGCTTGTGGAGGAGTTCATGCTCTTGGCCAACATGGCAGTGGCCCTCAAGATCCACCGCGCCTTCCCCGAGCAGGCCCTGCTGCGCCGGCACCCCCACCCCAGACAAGGATGCTCAATGACCTGGTGGAATTCTGCGACCAGATGGGGCTGCCCGTGGACTTCAGCTCCGCAGGAGCCCTCAATGTGAGTGGTGGGAAGGGTTCAGGGGAGGCTCTGCTTGGGGGAAAGAAGAGAAAGACCTGGAAGGTGGGGGGTCCAAGGGCCTCTGCTTCCCCCCAGAGTCCCTCCCCTTCAGCCAGGTCTCTCCTATAGAGGAGGAAGGAGGCCCTGGGAGGAAGGGCCCCTCTGAGTCACAGGGGTCCTGACAATGGGACTTGCCCCCTCACCAGGACTGTGCCAAGCTGGGACCCTGGAGGCCTAGCAGAGGGCAGGGGTCCTGTGGCCAGAAAGGGCTGGTCTTGGGCCCAGAGGCTTTCAGAGTGTGGGGGCTGGAATTGTAGGAATCCCAGCAATGTTCCTGGTGGGTACTTTCAGGTGCTTCGTGCCCGGGGCCTTGGCTCTGGTCCTGGAGGAGGGAGAAATCTCACCCAGGCCCGACCCTGGGAGGGGAAGGCAGGTGCCCTAGGCCCGAGAGCTGGAGCCCAGTGAGTCCAGGCCAGTCAGCAAGACATGGAAGGGACTAACCTCAGGCCAGTGTGGGCCACAGGCTGTGGGCAGCTGCCCCCTCTCCCCACCCATCCCCTCTGAGCAGGGCTGAGCCCCCAGGCAGCTCCTCCCCCTGAGAGCTGGGCATGAGGTACTTAGCAGATGACAGGGCCCTGAGTCTCTCCCCAAGCTGGACCACACGGGTTTCTGGGATTTGCTTCTAGAAAAGCCTGACCCAAACATTTGGAGATGACAAGTACTCACTGGCCCGGAAGGAGGTGCTCACCAACATGTGCTCCCGGCCCATGCAGGTAAGGAGGGCCCAGCCCCGGCCCATGCAGGTAAGGAGGGCCCAGCCCCGGCCCATGCAGGTAAGGAGGGCCCAGCCCCGGCCCATGCAGGTAAGGAGGGCCCAGCCCGGCCCATGCAGGTAAGGAGGCCCAGCCCCGGCCCATGCAGGTAAGGAGGGCCCAGCCCCGGCCCATGCAGGTAAGGAGGGCCCAGCCCCGGCCCATGCAGGTAAGGAGGGCCCAGCCCCGGCCCATGCAGGTAAGGAGGGCCCAGCCCCGGCCCATGCAGGTAAGGAGGGCCCAGCCCCGGCCCATGCAGGTAAGGAGGGTCCAGCCCCGGCCCATGCAGGTAAGGAGGGCCCAGCCCTGTCCCATGCAGGTAAGGAGGGCCCAGCCCCGGCCCATGCAGGTAAGGAGGGTCCAGCCCCGTCCTCGCCGGCTCCTGGGAGCACACTGGCCCCAGACCTGTGACCTCCACGTGCAAGCACAGCCCACCACCGTTCCTGTCCTGCTCTGGACATGGCTGGGTGGACGGGGCTGCTCCTCCTCTGCCGGAGGGTGGGAGAGGAGGCCGACCCCAGGCAGCACCTAGGAGGGGGCACCCTGAGCCTCTTGAGTTTGAACCGCTGCCTCCTGCTCAGACTTGCTCAAGGACAACATGCCTTGGAGCTGAGGGGCTACCGAGACCTCCTGTCAGGCTGGGGTCCTGGAGGAGAGACAGAGTCCCGTGTGGCTTCCTGTCCCGGGGAACACTCCACAGCCTCCACCCCCGCATGTGGAGTCCAGAACCAGCTGTTGGCCTCTGGCCAGTGTGGGAAAGAAGCAGACTTGGCCGTGGGCCTAGGCCTGGGCCTGCAGGGAGGTGGCAGCCTGTGGGGTGGACAGCTGGGCTTGCTCTGGGACGCCTGTCACAGCCCCCAAGGCTGAGCTTCACCCGTGCAGGGCCTGAGCATCCTGGGACCAGGACCCCAGAGGACCCTCGGGCCAGCGGGAGCAGTGGGTGCTGATGAGTCAGCTCTGGGCCCCAGCCCAGCCCAGGGGCAGGGACAGGCTGTATTTCAGGAGCTTGGTCACACAGCAGATTCAGTCTGTTCTCAAGAACTGGATGGCTTCAGCTGACCCCAGTGGATTTATTTTCTGACACTTCAAGCTCTGCTGGGTTTGAAGCCATCAGGATCTGCTTGGGCCTGGCCGCCCTGACCTGCCCCCAGTCACAAGTGTCTGCCCAGCCAAGCACCTACGGCACCCACAGCTGAGAGGGGCTGGGCCGTGCCTGTGGGGCTGTGTTCTACACGCCAGTGGCTCTAGGCCTGGCAGAGATGGCACAGCAACCCCTGAGTCCCAGAACTGCCTCTGGCTCTGCCCTGCTAGGGCCCCTCCCATGCCCCTGCCTCTAATGCCATCACCTTCAAGGAGGTACAAGCTAAGCTGGAGTTCCAGGGATCAGAGCCGCTCCGGAGTCAGCCAGAGCCTGAAAAGGCTGCATTCTCCTGGCTCGCCTGCCCCGGAGACTTGCCCCCAACTTAACCCAGGGCCCAGCAGGGGCTGGAAGGGAAGTGGAGTTAGGGAGCTGAGCAGGTCACCACCAGCTGCGCCCTGGATTCCAGGGCCCGTGTGCACAGAGTAATGGGAGCTGGCTGTCTGGCCAAGGGCACAGGAGGGTGAGTGTGTACAGCAGCCAGGGAGCAAGGGAACCAGCGAGACACACAGGAGTGACCTTGGACCTCTGCAAGGAACCCGTTCACTCGCTCCCAGGCAGCAGCACTGGCCTTGACACCCAGCCCTGAAAACTGGGGGACTGCAGGGCAAGCAGCTTCAGTGACTGTGGCCCCAGCTGGGCCGGGCTGTGTGCTGGTCCCTAGAGACTCTGGGTATCTCCCCGTCCCAGCCCTGCCTCCTGCCCAGCACAAGGGCCTCTGGAACTCCGCCCTCTGTGTCTCAGCCCCTGGGAAGATCAGATGGTTGGAGATGAGAAGGGCCGAGGCTGGCAGGCCAGAAACTCCCTCCCTTGGCGGCTGTGGGGTGGAGTACTGGGGGGCACAGAGGTGCTGGGGTGAAGCGTGGCTTCAGCTGGGCGGGTTCAGTGCCAGAGGGGATGAGGTCGGCCCTGACCAAAGGTGGGCCTAAGTCTGAAAGAAAGCGCCAGGAGCCTGAGGCCTGTGTTGCACGGGGCAGTGAATGGCATCCTGGGCTTTCTCGCCTGCCTCCCACTCTGGCCAGATGGAGCAATGGACTTGGCCTCCTTGAACAAAGACCCACAGCCACCTCGGCTTCTGCTTGTGTCTCCAGCAGACACTGTCTGCAGCCCCCGGTCATACATGGCCACAGGCTTCTCCCTCCTCCTTCCTGGGCCAGAGTAGCAGCCTCAGTCCCATGCTGGGGAGGAGTAGACCAGAGACCGTTCCCTCCTGGAGGTGCCCAGCAGTGACTCAGCAGCGACGGGACATGTCTGGGCCATTCTCAGTGCTGCCCCTCGAGGGCATTTGGGAGGCCCAGGCAGGCCAGATTTGTCTCCTGGAGAGAGGTATGGGCACCCCTGGGCTCTGCCCAGCCTCCTGGCCTCCCCTTGGGTCCCCTTATGCAGAAAGGGGCACTGGTCCTGGCACTGGTCCTCCTTGGCTTTGCTCAGCAGCCAACAGTCCGTCAGGTCTGTGCACACCAAGGCTGCCAACGGCGAGGCTGTGGGTGACACAGGCCCTCCGGGACTGGCCGGGAAGCTCTGGGCTGGCCAGGCTCTGACTCGCCCCGCAGATGGCACTATACTTCTGCTCGGGGCTGCTGCGGGACCCAGCATAGTTCTGGCACTATGCGCTCATCATGCCCCTGTACACACACTTCACCCACAGTGGGTGCTGAATGGCCCAAGACCATTCAGGAGTGACAGTGGAGGTCCAAAGGTTGGGCGAACCAAGCGAAGGGGAACCTGGCCTGAGAACTCTCCTTATGGACCAGTGCTGCAGAAGCTGCAGGGGGCCCACAGCCAGCCCTGGACACAGCTGAGAGGAGGACACTGACCTCAGAGGGCTGCTTTCTGCTGCCCTGGGAGCTGGGTGCTGGGGTCCTAATCTGTCACCTGGGGTGGAGCACCATGCAGCCCATCCCCCAGCCATTGCCCTTCCCCACTCCCCACCCCCCAACCTCATGCCCCATACAGCACCGCCCACCACCCCACCCCCTCTTCCCAGGCTATAGGGAGCAACTAGACATGGCACCCGATACCCTGCAGAAGCAGGCGGACCACTGCAACGACCGCCGCATGGCGTCCAAGCGCGTGCAGGAGCTCAGCACCGGTCTCTTCTTTGCCGTTCTGGTCAAGGTGAGCCCTCCAGCCTGGTGCCCCTCACCTCCCTCTGGCTCCCGACCCTCCTGGGCACCTACTCACCAGGAGGCCTCAAGAAGCCCAGGGCAGTGCCAGGAGGTGCCATGGCTGCAGCACTGTCCTTGCAGAAGAGTGGCCCCCTGGAGTCAGAAGCCATGGTGATGGGTGTCCTGAACCAAGCCTTCGACGTGCTGGTGCTGCGCTATGGCATGCAGAAGCGCATCTACTGCAATGTGAGTGCCCTGGGAGAGCCCGTGGGCGGCCAGGGCAGCCCAAGCCACCCCACACTGGAGGGGTACAGGCTGTGATGGGTCACACTCCACCCCTCGCTTCCCCAGCCCTAGCACAAATCCCACCTGATGGGCCTTGCAGAGACGCCCAGCTCTCCCACCTGGGATGGTGGCTTCAGGCCCAGGGTCAGGCCTGGTCCCCTTCCCCAAGGACCCAGGAACCAGAGAGCAGACCCCTCCATGGCCAGTACAGCTCGGCAGGGTGTGCAGGCTTCGGGAACTGTGTTTATAGGAATGTGAAGGAATGAGAGGCCAGAGAATGGTCCTTGGCCGCTCTGGAAACTGTCCCCTGAAGACAAGGAAGAGAGCTGTCCCTGGCTTGGCTCCTGCCCTGAGTGACTGTTGATTCACAGTTCTCTCCAAGGGGACGTGGGCCTGTCCTAACGCCGCCTTAGGGGCTTGGCTCCAGCTGGCCCTGGGGTCTGCAGGTCACCACCTGGGCCCTGTGCCTGGCTTTGAATTTCCTAACATCCAGAGTGCCCTGGGAGTACAGTGTCCAGCCCGTTGTGTGCAGTAAACGTGGTGTTCCTAACCTGGAGCTGGGCAGAAGAGGAAGGACAGAGTCCCCCTGCTGACCCTCGGGACTCTGTGTCCTGAAGTTCAAGTCTGAGTCACCCTGCTGTGGGCCCAGCCCTGCCTGCACTGACAGATGGCACCAGCAGGGGGCGCAGTGCTCTGCCGCCACAGTTCTCTGTCCCCACCTCAGTGCAGTCAGCCCTGGATGCCCCCACCACTTGCCCACAATAGCACACAGAGCTACGGGCCTTCCCAGTCCCCACCCCTGGCCCTTGGTCACTCTCACCTGCTGCCTCAGCCACAGGTGGCCTGGCAGGGCCTCCCTGAAGCTCCCTCCAGCCAGCCAGGGCCCAGGACCGAGGGCGGAGGGCTGCCTCCAAGCAGTGAAGCTCTCCAGGGTGGGAGGGCAGGCGGCCCCCTCTGTGTCCCATCCCCCTTAGTCCTGGCGAGCCCTCCCCTGCTTCCTGCGGTGCCCCCTGCCCTCATCTATGCCCCCTGGGCTACCCCAGCACTGCAGCCTCCCGGGTGGGGTTTTAGGACCCCCAGGCCCTCCCAGCTCACCCAGACCCTTCCTGAGGGTCCTGCTTTCTGGCACCACCTTCCCTTCCTTGGGGACAACCACAGTGGAGAGAGGTGGGGCTCTACCTGTCCCACTAATGCAGGGGTGCTGACCTTTTGGTGTCCTCTAGAGAACTTGATGAAAGCTATGAGTTTACACCTAAGAAATTGTCGGGCACCGTTTTTCACCAACAACGTGCCCTGAAGGTGGACCCAGGCCCCCAGGTTGCATTTTGTAAGCCTTGGGAGCTCTCAGGATGCCTCTGACTCCCTCAGCTCTGCCCTGACCCGAGGCATTCATCCTGGAGCAGGCCCTCGTTACAGACAGGCGAGCAGAGGCTTCCAGAGGCCAAGGGAGGGTCCTGGGGGTCCTGCGGCAGGGCCGGAGGCAAAGCTGCACCTCGACATCAGTCCTTTTCATCTTTGTCCCCTCACGGCTGGGCTCTGCACAGGTCATCACCATCATCAGCCTGGTAGAGGTGGTCCTGTGGGCGGCCATGACCCTCAAGTATAGTGCTGTCCTGAAGCAGCCGAGCAACCAGGGCCACCTGGGCCCCGAGGAAGAGGAGGAGGAGGAGGGGGTCGAGTGTGAAAAGGAACCTTGGCCAACCCTCCTGCCCCACCCCACTAGCTTTAGGAACAGGACCTGTTGACACCAAGGGGGATTTTTAATTTGGATTTTAACAACGCAAGGGTTTGCTTTTGGTTTTAGTTTTGCATTTTATTTAATGTTTGCAGCTCAGTTTTCAAACAAACTGCAGGGAAGAGGATGGAGCTGGAAAGAAGGCTGAGACCTGGCCAGCAATGAGACTGGCTCCCCTTCTGCCCGGGCCCCACTGCCTCCTCCAGGCCAGGGAATGGGGCCTTTTCTGCAAATCCATGTCAGGGAATAAAATCAAGTGTGGAGTGCCATCTGGTGTTTGGGGCGCCCCTGGGAAGCCTGGGCAGTGGAATGCCCCTTGCACCCAGGGCAAGGGACCCAGCTCAGGCTCCACCCCTCACTGTTGAGCCGATGTCACCGCCTGGAACCTTCCTGTCAGTTCCAGCACGATTCAGAGTCGGCTACGTGGCAGATTGATGCCGGAGTCTCATTCTGCCTGATTAAAAATGTAATTAGTATGCAGGACTGAGAGCGCCCCCGTCACCCTGACGCATGTGACTGTGTCCAACCCTGCCCCCGCTTCCTCCTGCACCAGCTCTGCAGGGCCTGGTGGGGGTCATGGGTCCTGCAACACCGTCTCCCCGCAGTTCCTTGGCCAACACTCTGAATGGCCCTGTCTATACCCTGGGTCTGAGTCAGTGCCCTGGCAGCTCCAGGCCTAATCCTGTGCTCTGGGGACAGAAGCAGGCCTGGGCCTGGGGGAGGGGAAGAGGGCCCTCCAGTGCCTTCCCAACTAGGAGGAGAAACCGGCTCCTGGTGACACAGCCTGGCCCTGTTGCCCACCCAGTGTCCCGAGCACCCACGGATCCCACCTGCCTCGGGTCCCGGACAGAGCTGGCCGGCCACTGGGCAGTCCCTTCCCCAGCCAGCCCGACCCCAGCCTGCCCTCCTTCCCCCTCCATGGGGGAAGCTCCGTGGCTTGGCTTCCCCGAGAGCTGCCAGAAACTAGGATGAAAGCCCCGGTGAGCACGGCCTCTGCTCCCCCGCACCATGTCCTGGGGTGTCTGGATTAACAAGCTCATTTGATCTGGTTACAGTGAATTTTCTTCAAAGAAACACTCAATCGGGTCCCTTGTCAGAGTGCCTCGTAGCGCCTGAACGACAGTGACTGGGTACGGCTGCCTTTGTTCTGCCACCGTCAGATGGGGCTGGCTGTGGGAGGCGACCAAAGACGTCCCCGCCCCTGCCCTCGGAGCCTTTCCCTCCTCCAGGGCTCAGCCACCTCAGGCGGCCTTCAGTTTGTGCATCCTGCCACCCCCGAGATGTCCCAGAGGCCACGGTCACCCCATCTGTTCCTGCCCCCAGAACCTTCTCCTGGAGCCAAGTATCTGCAGGGACAGACAAGTGAGCGTCTGGGGGTTTGGTGCTGGGGTGTAGAAGGCTGTGGGGTGCTGCCCTGCCCCAGGCAACCTGACTGTGAAAGCCCCAAACAGGAGACATCCCAGCCCCTTCCCCTCCCCTCTACGCTGCCCACCCTCTGAGGAACAGTGGCCAAGTTCCTCTCTGAGCCTCTCAGGCCAGGCTGGCCCTGTCCCCCAGGGCCTCCCATGAAACCTGGGAGCTATTCCCTCACAGGCAGCACAGACCTGGACGGACACCTGTCCCTGTGCCCCAGCACCCCCAGGCCCCAGTGAGGAGTAGCCAGGGGGGTGAACAAGGGGCTTCCTGCAGGTACTGGGCTCAAAGGTTCTTCAGACAGCCTCGCCTTCCCTGCTGGCCCCAGAGCATGGCAGGTCCCTGGAGCCGTGGAGGCCATGGCAGCCCCAGCCCAGTCCACCCCATCCCATCTGGGGAAGTGGAAACCGTATTCACAAGGGTCAGATCAGGTCTCTCCCTACAGTGACCTGGCAGTTTTGTGCCCAGCTAGGGCCTCTATCAGGCCCAGGCTGCCCCCACACCCTACCCAGAGCTCAGAGAAGACGGCCCAGCCTTCTCCCCACGTCAGTCATGCTGAGCCCTGCATCTGCGTTCACTCCTTTAAGGAACGTGGTTGGCTCAATCCGGTGCCGCACCTTCACAGGATGGCTCTCCATGGGTCCACTGGGGGCCCAACCTCTTATATGGCCCCTCGCTAAAAGGACTCAACAAAAAGAGTGACCAGGCACCGACCCTCGTTTGCAGGAGGACTTGGCCATTCCCTGAGCTGTCCCACAGCACCTGCCGGCCAGGGCCCAGGGCACAGAGCGAGACTCTGTCTTTTCCTCAAGGAGACACCGTGGGGGAGGGAGGGAGAGGTAGACACCACCAACCTCATCCCATGACCAGGGGCTGGCGGCGCTCAGAGGCCCATGAGTGTGTTCTCCACCCTGAAGGGTCAGTGCCGGCTCCCTGGACCCAGAGGAAGATGGCTCAGGCGGTGGCCCGGCCTGGGGAAGGAACTGAAGCCACCCTCCTGGAGAGAAACTGACGCCTCCCCAGTTCCTGTTAGGAAGGACCTCAGGAAAGAACTGGGATCAAGCAGCCTGGGGTGGTGGCCTCCGGGCCCCTGAGGAGGATGTCAGGCTGCAGAAGGGAGGGGATGGGCATGAAGCTTGGGAAGGGGGCGCCAGAGGAGGCAAGGCCTGTGCAGAGGCAGCACCAGAGGCCACTGCAGTGGCTCCACCACCCAGCAGCGCCACCATGAGTCCGGAAGTGGGAGGCCAGGCAGGAGGGGCTGTGATGGCCCAGGTGCCAGGAGGAAGGGCTGAGGGGACAGTGCAGGCGTCCAGAGAGGCCTCGCAGGGACAGGCTGCGAAAGTCACAGGTGGGGATGGGCTTTCTCCAGGGAGTTCTACAGCACAGATGGTGCCGCTGGCCTGGCTGTGGCCAGCTCTGCACGTGAGCCTGCCCCAGTCCTTGCTGGGCACAGACCAAAGAGCGGTTCCTGGGTTGGAATCACAGAATTCAGGGGCTGATGGCGGTCAGGTTGGGAGTTGGGAGGGGTGAATGAATTAAATATTTGAGCCCTGGTGGAGGCTACAGGATGTGGTGCCTTTCACATTAAAGAAGGTTCTGGAGAAGGGGATGATTCTTGGAATAAGTATCAGTTTCCACATGCCTGAGATTAGGTTCCGGATTTAAAACCTTATTGTAAGATCATCTCTTTGAACCTTCTCTCTAATTGTGAGGTTTTATGGTTTGGGGGAAATTTTGATTATTTTTGTTGTTTTGGGTTTTTTGTTTGTTTGTTTGTTTTTTTTTGAGACAGGGTCTCCC